CACAAGGACGCTTTCAAGAAGGCCGCTGGTAAGCGTTCACAGAGAAAGGAGGGGCCACACAGACCACTTCCCTTCGCCTTTGTCCAAGCCCTAACAACCAGTTATGTTTTTTTCTTTCTTTACCGTTCATTAGCCAACTGGGCAACTGCACCCGAAAACCCCAAGAACAGCGCCAAGTAAACGAAACAAAAAGGAGACACACAACAACAAGAAGCGGCGCACTTCCCCCTCCTCCCCTCCGTCGCCATTTTCCTTCCCTCCGTATCTACGCTATTTACAAGGACCGGGGTGGGCCGTGTGTGTTTAGTGGCTGGGGAATATCTTTTTTTCCACCTCTTTCCCCACTCTCCCTCCATCTCTCCCTCTCGTTTATTCACCTCCCTTTCTTGCTTTTTACTTTTTCCTTTTTTGCTTTTTACTTGTCCTTTTTGTGAGTTCGTGGGCACACCCCGCGCCGTTTGATGAAAATAAAACCAAAATACCAAACCTACTCGCCCCTTGGTGCAAAAACTTTCGCTACTTGCATATTTGCAGAGTCTTGAATATTGCGATTTTATGGGCTCTTTACATAAAATCGAGAATTTATGGAATGACGACAGATGCATATATCTCGATACATATTTTCTACTTGACTTGCTTTCGCTTGTGCGCTTTTCCAAGCGACACGCTTACATCCTTCTCACTGTCGCCCTGGCCCACTTTCGTCGACTTTTCGTCAACGACAACACCACCACCCACATCCGCCACGCTCTTCACCCCCACCTCATTCTCCAACTCCTTCACCTCCTCCTCCGCCTCCTGCCCATCCCCATCCTCCTCCCCAACCTGCCCATACTCATTCCTCCTCCGCTTATCAACGCCATAAATCCACTTCTGGTACAAATACACCAAAAACACAACATCGTCCCTCAAGCACGCTAAAAAAATCGTACAAAAGGAAAGGGGCGCGCGCGCGTCAGCGGCCAATAGAAAGAAAAACTCCTTTTTTTTTTTGTCGCCCGCCCCGCCCCCGCGCGCAAAACACTCACCAATCCGATGCAACCACGGCATCTTGATCACAAACGCAAACAAGTCGTCGACAAACGTGTTGAGCGCTTTGTACATGAAGGTCTTCCAGGGCATGTGGGCGACCGATTTCATCTTGTAGTTGATGAAGAGCTGGGGTGTCATCGAGATAAAGCCTAAAGGGACAAAAAAAAGAAAAAGAAAAGAAAGGAAAGCAGCAAGAGCGAGGTGTTAATAATACCCGAGGCAAGTTGTGTGGGCGTCTTCCGAGATGAGGCGGGTTGGGGTTTTTAGGTGGCGGGGGGAGTTTGTGTGTTGCTTTTTTTTTTCTTTATTACCGAAGCCGTAGACGAATCCGACGAGCGTGCCGACAACGTAAGAATACCTATTAGCGAAAAAAAGAGAGCGTTAAGATAGTCCCCCACCCGGTGCGCACCATACGCCAGGAGCCCTCATGTGGCTCCCACTATCGCTCGCCTCGCTTCTTACCAACTCTTATGCTCCTCCCAGATCAACGAATAAACCGCATAACCCGCAAGACAAGGGTACATCGCCCACGACACATACTTGAAAGCCATCTCGTCATGCTTCCGCGTCTCCGAAACAAGTTTCGACGGCTTGACCCTATCTTCAAATGCCACAAACGGGAACTCTGGCTTGCGTTTCACAATCACAGTTTTGTTGATCTTCCACGCCTCAATCAGCAGTCCGACACCGCTGGAGCCGAGAATCATCCAGGACGTGTCGTTGTCGAGGAGGTAAAGAAAGATAATGGCTTGTTGGATGACATTTGCGATGATGGCGCGGAAGGAGAGGCCTTCCATAGATTTCTTGTTGCGCCAGAACTGGACGTCTGACAGAAAGGCACAGAGGGACAAAAGTGGGGCACGAGAAGCGGGGTTAACAAAACGAACAGCAAAAACTGGTGAAAGCCCTCGTCGGTCGCCCACTTTACCATTCTTGAAGGCCAAGAAATCAAACACACTATGCAGCGTGGAAACAATAACCGTAATCGCAAGTAGTATCGGATTCGTATCCAGGAACAGCCGCTTGATCTCGTCGGTTTCGCCGGACCCAACACCCATGACCGAGTTTTGCACACGAAAGTTTTCCTCAAAAGTTTGATACATCTGATATTTCCACCGTGGCAGCGGCGTATATGAGAGTGAGATGTTCAGGGTTCTGCGAAAAGGGGAGACAAAGAAAAGGTTAGATAGTTGGAACGAGAAATGTACGAGTCTTTTCATCCACCCACTTGACGGTCTCGTTAATCGGCATCAAATTCTCCTGCAGCATCCAGAAATCATTCACTAGAAATACGGGGTAGTAGTGGTATCCATCCTCCGCAATTCGCACGTCTAACAAAAACAAGGGATGACAAGCGCCCGCGGTAATCAGTTTTTTGTTGTTCGTCCTATCCCTCCACCCTCCCGACCTCGCTTTTCTTGTTCCATACTTTTCGTCATCAACGGATGCGCACGCGGCGGAATCACATCAACGGACTCGATGATGTTCAGCGTCACATTTGGCCACCAGTAGGAGACGATAGGCATGGTGTCTTCTTCCGCTTCGCCCTCGGTAAACATGTCGACTGACGAGCTGTTCGTTGCAGCTTCCGCTGAAGACGCAGCCGAGACCAGGTTCTTTTTCGCCACAATGCGTTTTTTGGGCATGTACCTCGTGAGCACTAAAGGTGAAAAAAGGAAGCCCTTTCCGATGAGCACACAGCAGCCTGTCTTTCGCAAAACCCATTTTTCTGTATCCCATACATTTGCGTGTATAGAGCGGCTGCATCAACATGGCCTCACTCTGTCCATCATCATTCTCGCCATCCACGGGCGACTCCGCCCGTCGCGGTACCAAAAATACATGCGCCCACAATGATCCGTTATTCTGCACCGTGGTCGGCACATCAATGACCAGCTCCTTCCGCCTTTCCACACCGTCGCCAAACGCGATGCCGGATTCCTCCCATACAAGGTATTCGTCACCCGTTAGGTGGTCGGATTCTGATAGGAATGCTTTTAGGTCCTGGAATAAAAAACACAAGTGAGTCAGTCTCCTGCGTGTCGGCGGTGAATGGGTGGTTTGGTTTGTCTTCATGGGGCTTACTTACTGCTTTCAAGCCGAAATTCCATATCGGCAAGAGGCTCGTGGGCACGCCCGTTGTGGACGGCTTGCCCGGTTGGTGGACCGCTGGTGAAGCTCCGCCGCTAGGCGCATTCGGGACTCGGCTATCAAAGAAATACCCTAGCGAAAAACACAAAAAGTACAATGTTATAGAACCCTGAAGGAAGCCATAATCCTCTTCGCCATGTATCGCAACAAACGCACGGGAAACAGTCTTGAATAGGTAATAAATTACGATAACCCGCGCGATCGAGAGGAGGACTTGCCAGGTGTCCAATTCGGCGGGAGGTTGGCGTTGCTGGGCTGGCGCACCCTGCGTTGCGGCTGCGGCTGCGGCAGTAGCAGGTGCACCGGCGGCTCTTTTTGATACGCCGGCCTGGGTGCGTGGCGGCATTTTTCAGGGTTCGGTTGCGTCGGAGCGGAGGGTGGGATGGGGGGAAAGACCAACGCCGCGAACACGCTGATCTCAACTTTCCGTTCTCATCCCGTCATTACAAGATGTTCACCGCCGTTGCCGTGCCCAAGCACATGCTCTCCCGCCTTCTCTATCCAAATCCCGTCTGCCTGCTGACCGTCGCCGCACCCGCGGAGAACGGGTCAACAGACGCGGCGGATGAGACGGAGACCCCGCACGCTTGGGACCGCAACATTATGACCATTTCATGGCTCACAGCGACCGACAACCACGGCCGCTTTGTCTGCTCGATCAACCTCAACCGACGATCATGCACGCTTGTGCGGCGTGCCATGGGATTTGGTAAATAAATAGTAAAAATGGACCGGAAGAAAGAGACTGTGAAGCCGCGAAAACCCATAATACCCCCATAGGGGGCTTGAATGCAGATAAAAAGGACGAGACCCCCTGCTAACCTCTTTTGACAGTACTCAACATTGCCCCAACATCCCTCCAACCCCTCCTCCTCGCCGTCGGATCCACCAGCGGGCACGACGAAGCCGGCAAATTCACCGCGCTCTCCATCCCGACCTGCCAACCCGGCTTCCAACCCCACAGCACAAGCACAAACCCCACCCCCGCAATCCCCACCGCAGCCGCCCACGCCGAATGCATTGTCGAAGAATGGAGCGAACGGCACGGCCACGCGGTGTTGTTTTGTCGTGTTGTTCGAGGGTGGGCGCGCAGCGAGTGGTGGGATGGAAGGTGTTTGGGCAGTGTGGAGGATCCGTTGTTGAGTTTTATGGGGTCAAAGAGGTTCGCGAGGGTTGTTCCTGAGTAAGTGAGGGGGGTGCAGTGACTACTAGGTCACCGGACGGTAGACGATGTATGTAGAGCTCCCGGTTGACGAAGTGAATAGACGATTTCGCCAAGCATTTCATAACAATGTTGACAGCTGGCAGTGGCGTTTGGGATAATGCTTACTTTCGATGGCGCATTGTTGTTTGAGTCAAGCATGACAGTGGTGGTTGCAATCAGATTGTTACCACATATCTTGGGACCAATATCCTGAAAGACGAGTGGGTGCTGCTGTAGCTGTTACATGACAGCTGAAATTGCGACGCTGCCAGTAAGTAGTAAGCTCCGCTAAGTTGGCGGTTGGAAGAAGACATCAGTCTGAGAAGTTAAGGCAAAGAAGAGACATCAACGTAGTCGGTGTGGCGCACAGCAACCCGATGGGTTTTGGGTTTGCTTCAACAGACTCTGAGCTCTTGGACTTTCTTCGTTTCCCCCGCTGCCAACACGCACCCAAGTTCCACGTTGAAAAAATTCCGCCAGCCTTCTTTAATCCGATCACAGAGATTGGTCCCACTCACCCTGATTGCTCCCAGCCCACCCCATCCCACCTCATATTTTAGAAGGAAGCCCACCACCGACGAGTTCAGCTAAAAGCAACGACGAGCAAACAAAATGCCCGCACCAGGGATTGAACCTGGGACCCCTTGTTTACAAGACAAGAACGCTGAACCACTGCGCCATACGGGCAGTGTCGGAATTGGACGTCTCCGGAAAGTGTGAGAAAGGATATTTGTGCCAATCTCCGAGGAGAGACGTTCAAAGTTCAACTTGAAGCACAGTTGTCTGGACTGTATTCAAGCTACGGGCGGTACGGGCTCTCTTCCTGTGAAAATTTTTGGCGGGGTCTCCGACTTTTGTCCTCTGGTTGTAAGCAGTGTCACTTTCTTTTTTTTTCCGTTGCGGAGCATCATGGTGGTGCCTTTCTATCCCCGCCAGGCTCGAGCGAGCGCTTTTATTTTCGTTTGGCTCTGCTCATCGGCCGACAGAATCGGGGCGGCCAGAAAAAAAAAGGAAATATCACAAGTCCACGTGCGGTGGACTAGTTTTCCTATCCCACTGGAGGGACTCGTGCGGAAAGAGAAAAAAAAAGAAATGAAAAGACACGACTCTGAGCGAGGTGAGCGTACTGTATATTGCTACATGAGGGTCATGGAGCGGCAACGGAGTGGGCGAGTTGATTTTTTCTGATAACGGTTCATGGGCAAAAAAGGATGGGGAGAAGTGAAAAAAGATCCGGGTCGCGTCGAAAGAAAAAAAACGTGTATAGCGGAGCTTGAAAAAACAAAAGAGAAAAAAGATTCGACAGCGGCCCCCCTCCATTTTATGAACTACCTTTTTTTTTGCAACTGCCCACGTTCTCTCAACTTCTCGAGCGAAAAGCTTATACTGCACCTCTGTTCAAAAAAAAGGGGCACAGCCGCTTTCAGAGTGTCTGTCGTTTCTTTTTTTGAACATGGGCGCTGTGGGCAGGAGATAGCAAAAAAAAGGACTGTGGGAGCGAGAAAGAAAGAAAGAGAGAGAGAGAGAGAGAGAGAAACAAAGCGGTATTTAAACGGGACGCGGAGGTCTGGTTTCCCGAGTGTTTTATCTTCATCACACGCTTCTGTCTCTCTCTCTCTTTCTATCTCTCTCACTTCTCGATTCACAACTCCTTCGTACATACTCAACACAAAATGCCCGCCTTTGCAAACAACTACGACGCCCGCGCCATCGCCCTCTCCACCAAAGCACTCCGCACTACCGGCTCGTCATCCTCGTTGGCGAAATCTGCCTCGGCGGACAAGAAGGCGAAATCAGAGACCGTGGTCGCCTCGTCGGCGGGATCGATCTCGTCGGGGACCGGACTGCGGGCGCCCAACCTTTGGGATGCGCTGGGTCCCATGCCTAACGGTCATAGGATGATCTGAAAGACCGCCACACGCCGCCCAGTGTGTCTCATGTTTTTTGGATGCCCCTGAAGTTCGTTTCACATATATACCATTTCCCTTTTTTTTCCCCCTCTCTTTCTGCGCTTTCCAGCGCGGTAATCTTTTTTTTGTTTCGCCCCCTCTACTCCATAGTTTTTGTTTTTACTTTCGTATCTTTTAATTTGAAGATCAGTTACCCCGCCTCTCTAAAAAGTTGTTCAAAAAATGTTTCTGATTTTATCTCCTGCCTGGGTCTATCCTGCGGGGGTCCTACAAACGAGCACGATCACCTGCGGCGTTGAGCGGCACGATGACTTTACCGGCATTCTTGCCCTCATGCATGTAAGCAATCGCACGCGGGATCGCCTCAATCCCGCTGAAATCCGCCATATCCATCAACGGAATCAGTTTCTTGCTCGCGACGAGCTGGAGCATGTCCTTGAGCGCGGCGGGGTACTCGCGTGCGTAGTGGGGCAGGAAGAATCCCGTCACGGTTGCGGATTTGTTGAGGAGGGAGACGGTGGAGATTGAGTCGTTGCCGAAACCTGTGGCGGCCTTCTTGGAGTCTGGTTTAGCGGTGTCGGTCGCGTAGTTGGAGATGGACCCAATGACGATTAGGCGGCCTTTGATTGCGAGATTTGCGGCGCAGTCGTGCAGCATCTGTCCACCGACAGATTCAAAGACAATGTCGATTCCACGCGGATATTCTTTCCGCAGGACTTTACGCACGTTTTCGGTCTTGTAGTTGATCACACGGTCGCATCCAAGTTTTTTCAACATTTCCGCTTTGGTGTCGCTCGAGCATGTGCCGATGACGGTGTTTCCGGCTAGTTTCGCAAGCTGCACGGCGATTTGGCCCGCGCCACCCAACGCTGCCGTCACGAGCACGGTTTCGCCAGAACGCATTTGGCCGTTGTGTTTAAGCGCGAGGTATGAAGTCAGACCGGAGACGAGAAGCGCGAGGACTTCGGGTCTTGCGGACGCGACGGGAATGACTTGCCGGGCGTCGATTAGTTGGATTTCGGCGAATGCGCCGTAGGACATTACGGCGACTGAGGAGCCCGGTTTGAGGGATGGGTTGTTGACGGCGCTACCGACGGCGATGATTTGTCCGACTGCTTCAAAGCCGCAGTCGAATGGACTGTTAGGGAGGCGAAAAGAGAAAACGGGGGGGGGGGGGTTCTTTAAAATCTTCATAATTGTCTCTTCGTGCTGTTTTTCGGCGGCATGCTTACGGCTTAACGGTAGGGTCATATCTTCCGGCAGTGTAATTGATGTCGCTGGCGTTTATCGCCCAGTACTTGTGGTGGATTGCGACCTGGTTTGGGCCGAGTGCGGCCAGCGCTTTTGCGGTCTACAGATAAATTGACATAACTTAGAAAAGGCGTACAGAGGGCTGTGTATGTGTGTGTGTGTGTGTGTGTGTCCTTACGTCGACAGTTTCGAGGCGCGTGGCGTCGTTGAAGTCTGTGGAGAGCTTGTGGACGACGTATTTGCGGAAGGTGGCGGGCAGCGGGGTAAGGTAGTTTGCGTTGGACATGATTGATTGTGTGGGCGGATGAAGTCTGCTGAGGGGGTGGAGTGGGGGCTATCGCTCTTGTCCTTTTCCTTTTTATATGCGAGAAGGACGACGCTGAGGGAGAGCGGGCAGCAGGACCGGGCCGATGACAGACCGAGCGCGCAGTGTGAATCAGAGCGAGGGGGCGCAGCATTCCATTTATTTCACTGCATCCATCAACTATTGTCTTCTCTCCCATGAGGTCATCCACTCAATGCAGCCCCGTCGTCTTGCCCCCAATTCACCCAATCTCTCCTCACCCAACAGCCCCCTCGACCACCCTCCCCGCTCTCCCTTTTATTTTGACTGCGCCCAGAATGGCCGCCGCTGCTGCCTCCGACCCGTCCGCCTCTGCATCCTTGCCCATGTCCTCCTCGGGCAAAACCTCACGTCTGATCGTAATCTCAAACCGCCTGCCAGTCACAATAAAGCCCGCTGCCGATGGGAAGGAAGGCTGGAAATTTACAATGTCTTCCGGCGGCCTCGTCTCGGCACTTTCCGGCTTGGCGAAAGAGATGAAGTTCACCTGGATTGGCTGGCCTGGTAATGCGCATGTGGTGGCGACAGGGAAATGGGTGGACGAGAGATCGGGCGGGCACGAGAGCTGTGTGCCCCTCTTGCTTGCACGTTTTGTTACCTCCATTGAATACTGACTGTCTTCCTTCTCTTTCCTTATTTTTTTTTCTCTCTCGCTAGGCTTGGATGTGCCAAAGGACCAGCAGGCAAAGATGAAGGAGCAGCTTCTGGAACAGCACTCGTGTGCACCGGTATTCATTAGCGACGAAGTCGCAGACATGCACTACAACGGCTTCTCTAACAGGTAGGAAAGCAAGATGTGTGTTTAAGCTTTCGTACGGCGTTATGCTTAAATATACGCGATCTCTAGCATCTTATGGCCGCTGTTCCACTACCACCCCGGAGAAATCAACTTCAACGAAGAGCACTGGGACGCGTACCAGCAAGTCAACCAGGCGTTTGCAGACGAGGTTGCGGAAATAACACACGACGGCGATATCATCTGGGTCCAGGATTATCATCTGATGCTACTGCCGACCATGCTGCGCGAACGCCTGCTGGAGCGTAACAAGAAGGATGTCAAAATTGGCTTTTTCTTGCACACGCCGTTTCCATCTAGTGAGATTTATAGGTATGGCGACACGGGAGGAACCGGGATGTTGAATTGCAATGCCTATGGCATTTTCCGAACCGCTCACTGATTCTTTGTCGTTTCTTAGGATCCTGCCGGTCCGCAAACAGGTCCTGCTAGGCGTGCTCAACTGCGATCTCCTCGGCTTCCACACCTATGACTACGCGCGGCATTTCATGTCTTCATGCACCCGCATTCTCGGTCTCCACACCATGCCCAACGGCGTTGAATTCGAAGGGCGTGTAGTGCATGTCGGCACTTTCCCCATCGGCATTGACACAGACAAGTTTGCAGAGGGTCTCAAAACCGAAAAGATCTCGCAAAGGATCCAGCAGTTGAAGGACAAGTTCAAGGGCGTGAAGCTGATTGTGGGTGTCGACCGGCTGGATTACATTAAGGGTGTGCCGCAGAAGCTGCATGCGTTGGAGTTGTTTTTGTCGCAACATCCCGAGTGGATTGAAAAGGTATGAACGAGACAGGGAGGAAACAAGCTTGCGTCCACCTTTGGCGCGCGCGTCAAGGCTGCTGTATTTATTTCTATATTCCCTACACATCCGCGTAGGTCGTTCTTGTGCAAGTTGCGGTACCCTCCCGACAAGACGTGGAAGAATACCAAAACCTCCAGCGCGTAGTCAACGAGCTCGTTGGACGCATCAACGGGCGCTTTGGCACGATCGACTATGCGCCGATCCACTTCATGCACCGCTCGGTGCAGTTTGATGAGCTTGTTGCGCTGTACGCGGTCGCGGACGCCTGTCTGGTCTCGTCGACGCGCGACGGCATGAACTTGGTCTCGTACGAGTATATTGTCTCGCAGCAGGACCGCCATGGGGTGTTGATTTTGAGCGAGTTTGCGGGTGCCGCGCAGTCACTTAATGGTAGGGGGATAGAGGCAACTGGGAGAGGCGTGTTTCGACTCAGTTCCATTTTTCCTAAATTTTGGTCTTTCTTCTTTGGATAGGCTCTATTATTGTAAACCCATGGAACACGGCCGAGCTGTCGCAGGCGATTCACGACGCAGTCACGATGCCGGACGATTTGCGGAAGGCCAACCACCAAAAACTGTATCGATATG